GGTCACCTAATTGGCTTCACTGATAGGGACGTGGATTTGTATGTTGAGCCATTACACTATAATGTTAGCTGTCTATCTAATTCAGCCTTTTATATGATGCAAAATTATCCATTTGTTAGATTAAGCTTTGAACCGTTTAAAAATGATTAAAAATATTTTAGTGGAATTTTCCGAGGTTTTTATAACACTATTGGACTCTGCTTTGAAAAATAATAATGTATAATTACTCTCCAAACTTAACAGAACATGATGAAATCGATCATAAACGAAAATGTCATGTTCATCATTAATTAATCATAGCTAAGGATCGGAAGCTCATAAAAGATTGATATAAAGTTCAAATATATATATAATATATATATATATATATATTTCCCGGATCATTTTCCAAGACATTCAAGATGAGCTTCGTCCTCTTTAACATTCTAACTTTCTGTCCTGGAGTAACATGGCGCCTCGCAGTTTTCACGTACGATTTCATTTTCAAGAACTTTTTCACCGTTCTTTGGACTGTCATAAGTAAAACACCTCTCCCACGCGCCAAACGTCACATGGATTAAGTTGGATCTTTTCTAATTGATCTCTTTAGCTCTACGTTGAAATGATGACCCCCCCCCTCTTGCTGTTATGACCTCCTGATCCAGTTTTCCTCTCTACTGTTAATTCGTTTTTAAACTTATTCGCCATTCCCTTGATGATTCTGTAATGGACTTTTAAGATGGAAACCAGAGTATGAATGTTGGTACCATTACTGAAGGCATGAATGGTCTTTTTCGTCTCATCGTTGCTCAGTTAGGAAGACAGTGGGGCTGACACAAAACGATTTTAACCTGTTCTCTTTCTAGCTGAATAACTCAAAGACCTTTTTAATGATTCTTACGACAAATGGTATCAAGATGGCTACACCTCTTACCTGAAAATGCGAAAAAAAAGAAACTCAATTAGTTTAAGATTTTTTTATTAAACATTTTGTGGGATGGACAATTATGCTGTTACACGATTTGGACAATTTTCCTGTTACATCCGTATATATATATATAATATATATTGACGATTTTTTTTATTATAAGTCTTTGAAAGAATCTTGAAGTTGTCTATTTCTGTATTAATCGTTTTAATAGATTACAAATGACGAGGTAGGGATTATAAGTGAAAAACTTCGGACTGAGGAATCGAAGAGCCGAGTTCGAATTCAGTCTGTCCATTACATTCAAACGTGCTAATACCTTTTGGTAAAGCATGAAAACCCTTTCTTCTCCCCCAGCTATGGGTAAATATATAGACAGACCGAGTTCTATATATATTTTAACTGGTCTATATATGGACAACTTGAATCCAAATTTATTTCCCTCAGGTCCGATAATTATTTTAATATATTTATTGTTTATACATTATTTTTATAGATACAAATATTTAAGTAAATGCTCTTTGGAATAAACAGTATTAACAACTTTTACCAGCCTAAATGTCCCAGAAATTTCATAGAAAATTTGTGTCCTCTGACAAGAATCGAACCTGTATCCTACACGGAATCGACATGTATTTGTATCTATAAAAATAACGTATAAACAATAAATATATTAAAATAATTGTCGTACTTAGTTCAATTCATAATATATGACGTCATTCACGTTTAGGTAAGGTTCGAGCAGATCTGAACGTTCGAGAGAAATCATGTGAAATTAGCAGTAATTCGACCATGCTAACCAGAGGCTTCCTATGTAGCTAAATGTCAGGCCATATGACGGTTCTTTGTAGGGTACAGGTTCGATTCCTGTCGGAGGACGCATATTTTCTATGAAATTTCTCGGACATTCAGGCCGGAAAATGTTGTTAATACCGTTTAGTATAAACAGAGCATCTACTGAAATATTTGTATCTACAAAAATTATATATAGATATATAGGTACCTTCACGAATTAGGTATACGTAAGTTTTACAAAGAAAAAGTTTTCCTGGAGCTTTCAATTTAACTTTAAATGAAAGCTAAAGGATTAAATTTACTATATCCGGCAAGTAAAATATTTTGTTTTATTTCAGACAGATTTATTTTTCAGTAAAATCGATCACTTCAGTCATTTTTAAACATTTGTAAACAAAACTTATTTTTCCTTTCGAAAAATCTTGCAAAAATAAAATATATATTTCTGGAACGTTATTTCAGGAAAATTAGCAAATTTAAAGTTATCTTAATCTGATTTTAAACAAATATTACTTATAGCATAAAATGTTGTATACAAGCATTTCCTAACTACAGGGGCTTGTTTTTTTTTTTTTTTTTTTTTTTTTTTTTTTTTTTTTTTTTTTTTTGACGTGTTAATCGATTTATTGAGGCAGATTGACCGCCGAACGTGATCATAATTATCTATGGTGTATCAGACGACAATTTTCATTAGGGTTTTGTTTTTTGCCGTAGGTCCTTTTATTTAAAATTAAAAACGTTACCTTTTATAAATAGATTTATCAGTTTGTACATCCATATTTCAGAAATTCTGCATCGATATATATATAAAAATAAATCGAAATTATTATTTTTTTTTGTATAGTCAAAGGACGTCAGATTGTAATAAGCTTTTAAATATATGATTAGTAAATATAGTTTTACTTAATAACAATATTCCCTAAAAATTATCTCATCGAAACTGAACTTTGAAAGATTCAAAAATTTTATAAATTAGTCAAATTTAAATTGTAAAAATTGTAAAAAATGAAAACAAATCTTGTAAAAATTCAATTTTTTTTTCTTCACACAATATTCTCTTTAATATATTTTATTCATAAAAGCAATTAAAAGCTTCTCTAATTAAATAATGTCTTAGTTTTATTGCATTTTTATTTTTCCACTCAGAACAGATTTTCAGTATGACGGGATCTTGGTGATTTAAATTCTTCAAAAACTTCTGCTTTTAACTAATATAGTCACTAAAAAATAATCTCGATGAATTTCTGATGCTTTCATAAAATTAAGTAAGGAGGATAAATACATGTAAAAAAATATTTTTAACAAGATTTTCTAATAAAATTTTTCTTTCAAAAACAAGTTCATTTATTTGTGAATAAGTTCTGAAAATTTCATTAAACTCCGAGAATTATTTGATTTTTGCAAGAATCAAAAAAATAATGTGTCTGTCACCAGAAAAAGAAAGGCGAAAATTTTTTATGCTAAAAGTTAGTACAACCGAAAATTCAAGAAAAAAAGTTATTTAAATCAAATGTCCTAAAAAAATTGAAAAATTTAATAAAATAATCAAAAATATATTTATCCTTCCTTGATAATAATAACATAAATAAATTTTGGACGATAATAATATGTTTCAAAATTATGTTTGAAATGAATTTTCTCCGTTCTATGATTTTTAATATCTCGTGGATATATATATATATATATATATATATATATATATATATATATATATATATATATATATATATATATATATATAATTATATATATATATATATATATATATATTTCACTATATATATATATATATTTTAATATATATATATATATGTATATATATATAAATTTTATCATATATATATATTATATATGTATATATATCTATTAAATATATATATATATATATATTATTTAAATATATATATATATATATATATATATATATATATATATATATATATATATATATCCAAAAAACATATATATATATATATATATATTAAATATATATATATATATATATATATATATAATAGTAAAATAAATAAACACACTATATATATATATATATATATATATATATATATATTTCCTTTTATATATATATATATATATATATATATATATATTTATAAAAATAAATTAAAAATTTTTTCAGTTGGCGATAGTTAAAATTTTATGCAATTTTTCTCTTCAACTCAGGAAGAAATTTTGGGGATCAAATATGTTGAAAAATAAAACGGACTTTCGCCGAATAATTTGACCTCAAATTTTTCTTTTATATTTATTTTTACATACAAAACTGTCTCTAATATTATAAATAACTTGACCCATAAATATAAACGCCTTTCTTTTTTTATTATCATTATTATTATTATTATTATATATTTGGAGCCAACATATTTGGTTGGATAGATATAATTTTTTTTTGTGACCTTTTTTATTTCTGATTGCTTTTTTTTTTCGTTGTCAGATTCTAATTTAAATTATTTCTGAATATTTTTTTAAAATTTTGGGTTTATGTAGATTGCGTGTATTGGTTTATTGTGTGAACGTTGGGGATTTAAATAAAATCAAATACACGACATTTTTTTTATTTATTATACATTCTTAAATTTATAAATTTTTTTTGTCCATTTCATAATATATATTTTTGCGTCTATGTGTTTATCTGCATATAATTGTATGTTTTTATTTACAATTTTTAATTTGTGCGTTGTTTGTCTATAAGATTTTGTGTTTTCAGAATATGTGTTTTTTATATGTGCGTGTTTGTAAATAATTTTTACGTCTCGCCCTGTTTATGTGCATATTTTAATTTGCATGTTTATTATTTTTTGTGTGTGCCAATTTTGTGCATGTTAAATAAATATAAAAATTTGTGCATTTTTGTGTTTATTTATATATCGTGCGTGCGCGTATAAAAAATGTGTTGATTAAAATCAATTGAATTTCATAGACGGAAATATATTTTTTTTTTTGTTAATGACCGAGAATGCAAAAGATGGACAATGGATAGGATTTTGTGATTTAAATGAACTTTGACGATTATATTTTTCGGGACCGAATATAATTCGAAAGAGAAATTTATTTAGATTTGCACATAACCATTTAAAAAAAAAAAACAACGATGCTTGAATAGTCAATAAATTTTCAATTAAGTACCGTTCTTAAATGACTTAATTTACTTACTTTACGCAAAAATCTGTTTTTTTTTTTTTTTAAATATTACGCTATCTGCGCCATTATCTCGATCTTATTTTGATTCTGTTCGCTTTATTTTTGTTTTTTTTTGGGGGGGGGGGTTATCTCTAACATGGCCAGTTTGTTAATTTCTACCTATCCATCTGTCCATTTTTCTTTACCGTATTCTCTTCCCTCTCAACTCCCAACTCCCTCCACCGTTCACCTCCTTATATATTTATGTAAAAGTCACGTGCCGTGTCCTGCTTACGGATATCCGGTTCCGGTTGGTGGATTATCTGTTTCCTTTATTCCATTCATTTGGTTTGATTTTATTAGTCTTTTGAAATATTTTATCGTCTTTTTTCTTTCTTTTTTTCTTTCTTTCTTTTAAAAAAAATATCTTTTTTTCTCTTCAATCCTTCTTCTTTCTTTTCATTATTCTTGCCTATTAATTTATTTAAAAAAGAATTTATCACCCATTGTCCGATTCCAAAGTTTAAAAAAACAATGACCAAATATACCCCCAAACACTTAAAAAAAAACACAGGCAAAAGTAAAATAAATAATAAACAATCAGCCAATAAAGTCTAAAAATTCATAGACAATCGCATTTAAACGAATTGACTTACAAAAAAAAAACACTCAATAACAAAAAACACATACACGGGCACGTGCACGTATGCAAAGTCGTCCCCATCTGTCAGTGTTGATTTCTGATCGTTTTATAAAATGTCTTGAGGACCAACCAAATGTCCTATAACTCTTGATATTCTCTCTCTCTCTCTCTCTCACACACACACAAAATATCTTTCTTTCTCTCTCTCTTTTTATCTCTCTTTTTTTCTCTCTCTCCTTAATCTCTTTCTCTCTCTCTCAATCTCTCTCCTTTCTCCCCATAAATGTCTCTTTCTTTCTCTCCTTCTCTCTTTCTTCTTTCTTTTGGAGGATTTCTCTCTTTCTCTCTCTCTCTCTACTTCTCTCTTTTCTCTCTTTATTCTCTCACAAATCTCTCTTTTCTCTCTCCTCTCTTATTCTCTCCTTCTCTTTCTCCCTCTTTCTCTCAATCTCTCTCTCTAAAAACATCTCTCTGTCATCTCTCTCTTTTCTCTCTTTTCTCCTTCTCTCTTCCAAATCTCTTTCTCCCTCTTCTTTCTATGACCAATCTCTAGTAGGTCAGTTAGCTTTCTATTTTCTCAATACTTATCAAAATTATCAGTCTCTTTTGATGCATAAAGTGGATTTAGACGCATAAAATGATATCGCTAGAACATTTAAAACTTCTGTAGTGAGTTCGATCCCTCACTGTTAATAAAAAGGGTCTTTCGGCTTTGTGCCATATCTATATATATAAAATTGGAAAATCACGATCGACATGTATCCTTATAATTTAAAAATCTCACTTTATATATATATATATATATATATATTTTTTATTTTATCATTTACATATATATATATATATATATATATATAGAGAAAATAAATTATAAGAATTTTTTGACAAAAGGTCTCTAATGCTCTGGAAAAGCGGCTTGATGGATAGAAAATGGCTTAAAGGCAATAATCCTATGGGCAAAATAAACTCGGATGAGTTCCACAACGGAATATGTGATCGAGCGGTTGAATTTTCAAGAGGATTCGTTACCTCTTCGTAACCGAGGCCTATTAGTACAGCGTTTGCCTCCTATCGTAACTGTTCGGGTTTCAATTCTCGGTAGTGGATGCGCACTGCTGATAAGTTCCAAATATAGGACCAAACGTCAGTCCAGTGCTTTCTGCATTCTGTTGGGGTCTCTTCTAGACTCGATGAATTACTTAATTATGATTATTTTAAATCCATCCTAATTATATATATATATATATATATATATATATATATATATATATAGAACAGATAGAGAGAGAGAGAAAATTCGCTTGAGGATGAAATGGAACTAATGTTTTTAATTTAATTACAAAATTAAATTCAGAAGCTTTTAGCTCCCATTTTTAAACACATCTTAGAACTGTATAAACATGAAAAAAAACATATTTTAAATCAGTTAATTTATAATATATATATATATATATATATATATATATATATAACCTAAGAAAAGAGAGAGAGAGAGAGAGATTAATAATATAGATAGATAGATACATTATATCAAAAATAAAACCCATAAACTTTGTGGGCGGGTATCTCACACCATAACAACGACAGAAGTTCATATAAATATATGTTCGCAAATCCTGAGTTATTAAATTCCATGAAAGTTTACGTTAGACAGCGCCGTGTTGCCATCTAGATGCGTTACATTTGTCATTCGTGTACATTTGTGGCTAGTCGTTTTTCAACATTTAACATGTGAAGTAGTGAGTTAACTGAGAAGTGTTCCGTTTAATAATGGCAGGATATTCATATAACTTATTTTGCAATAATCCCTTTTCTATAAATAAATCATGGTAAATATATAATTATTACATACGGCCGAGCGAATGGTAATGGACGCGAGTCTGCATAAATATATTTCATTGTGTTTCCAGACAGAAGCCAATTAAAATCCTACCTTTTGCTACTGTTTATCACTGCGTTACTGAGACAGGGTCCGTGGTATCACAAACTATGGATCGAGGAAGACCGAGATCCGCTCGTACGACTGAAAAAGAACACAATCTAGAGGCTACTGGAGACGATCTATAAATCAGCAATATACGTCCTTGTCCTTGTTTTGGTGTCAGCAACCCGTCCCAAAAATTTACTTTTTATAGGTTTATATATATATATATATATATATATATATATATATATATATATATATATATATATATATGTATGACCAAGAGAAAATGACCAATGGAATTTAGAACATGAATCCATCCAGCTCTTATCTTAAATAACAACTTAAAAGAGACTGTTTCACCAATACAGAGTCTGACCAAAATTCATGTTAAAGAAATAAAAATGGAAAACAAATGAAAACTACAGATAAAGTTCATTTTCTCGATCAAGTCATAAATTTCTGTAGTTCACTGCTACTAACAAGCAGAAAGTTTTTTTCTCCTGATGATGGCCATGTTGGTCGAAACTAGTCGAGGAATCTAAGTGAAATAATAAAAACGAAAGAATATTAATATACAACCCAGTGTGTCTGAAGTTTTTAATTTTTTAATATTTTTATTGTTCAGAACACACACACACACACATATATATATATATATATATATAACAGCAAAATTCACTAATTGTTAGATTAAACTGTGAACCATTGTATCTTTAAAATGATTAAAGATATCGTACTGGAATTCTCCGAGGTTTTTGTAACATTATTGGACGCTACTATAAGCAATAAGAATCTATAATTACCCTCCAAGCTTAACAGAAGAATCGTGATGAAATCGATCATAAACGAAAATATTATGTTTATTTTAATTAATCATAGCTAAGTCTCGGATGCTCACGAAGGATTGAAAGTTCATATATTTAAAGACATTTTTTTATTTTTATGTTTAACATTCTTTTTATAGATACAAATATTTAAGTAAATGCTCTGTTTATAATAAACAGTATTAACGACATTTAACGGCCTAAATGTCCGAGAAATTTTCATAGAAAATATGCGTCCACCGACAGGAATCGAACCTGTATCCTATACGGAACCGTCATATAGCCTGACGTGCTTTTACCTCTTGAGCCAATGAGGAGCGTTTCGGTTAGTAAGGTCGATTTTACTGTTTTTAAACTACAATTCTCCATGATTCTCTCACGTACATTCATATCTGCTCAATGCGTATCCAAATGTAAACAAATGACGTCACACATTATGAAATGGACAAAGTCCGACAATTATTTTTTAAAACATTTTTTATGTTTATACGTTCTTTTATAGATACAAATAATTTAAGTAAATGCTCTGTTTATAATTTTTTTATATTCCTGGACCCAAATCGTCTGTATATATTATTTATTTACCCATAGCTAGTAAAGAATTATTGATTCATACCTTTCCCAGTTATACATGTATTTTTATTTAAATATATATATATATATATATATATATATATATATATATATATATATATATTTTTTTTAATTATATATATATATATATTATGTGTGTGTGTGTGTGTGTATTGTGTGTGTGTGTGTGTGTGTGTGTGCTATACTTATCGGAAAGTGCTCATTATCATGATAGAACTGATATATTCAGTTGCATGGATATGAGTTTGACATCCTGCGTTTCACGCTTTTGAGATCATCAGACAAACACGATTATTTTTTGAAAATTGAATCTATCTATGCTTGTTCGTGTTTGATGATATTTGGTGGTGGGAGGGGGAAATCCTCCTCTGTGTCCGTTTTGGGATGACACTCTTATACATACAGATACACATACATACAGGTGTACGCATTATAGTTCAAAAAAAACATACCCATATAAACAATTCGAGATTAGGCGCAGATGCATATCCACGCGTTCGAGCATACATACATACGCAATTGTAATCGTATCTCGGTGTCGAGACTGTATGTATATTTAGTTCTTTCAAATTAGCCAGGTCTATATGGGCATGTTAATCGCAAAAGCGTATTTAAATCATATCCATACAACTGAATATATATATATATATATATATATATATATGTATATATATATATATATATTTGTTCATTTTAAGGACTCCAAAATGAATCTTCTCACTTTTTTTTGCCTTTCATCAATATGGTTGATGTTAACTTCTTGAACAATTGTGCGTTGTCTAAAGCTTGCTACTGACATGAATCATATCGTATTAATTGCTAGGTGACCTGGTAACAAATCTGGATCCCTGTGTCGTGATAAACAATTTTCTCAACGGTATCTATCTTGGACCTTTATAAGTCTACCATTCGTCCATGCTTCTACAAGGTCTCTGAAGAATCTAGAGACACCAAAGAATCCATAAAAGACCCTGCAATGTCTTCGAACCTTACCGGGCGCCTCCGCTTCAGCTACCTTCCCACTGCAGTAACTTAGCTACATTTGGCCTTTTCTATAAATACTTTCATGGTATTTATTCTGATGAGCTTTTCTCTTTGTTACCTCGACGTTACGAATTTAAGCGCAGTACTACACTGGCTGTTAGGTCTCGCTATTTTACTGTTGAAATTGCTAAATGTAAGTGTAAGTTCTAAAAAAATTAAAGGCAACATCAATTGTCACTTCTCTCTCCTTGAATCCTGGTTCTTCAATGTCATATTCTGTCTGTCTGTCTGTCTGTCTCTCTCTCTCTCTCTCTCTCTCTCTCTCTCAACGTTTTCTCAGTAACCCAATCAGTTTTAGCGGCTTTATCGCCTTGCTAGGGGTTAAATGATTAAAAGATTAATTAAATATACTCGTAATTAATTAATACTAACTTCTTTCCACAATATACAAAACATAGAAGATATTACCTTAACTAAACAAGTTTCACCCTGTATAAGTGGAAATTGTCAGGTGAGGTTTATATATATATATATATATATATATATATATATATATATATATATATATATATATAAAATTTAATTAAAAATATACTGACAACGTACTGTGGTTAAATTTTTATTTAACGTGTTCTTATAATTTACTTATTTTCTGGACATAAATTATCTAGAATTTGTCAGAATGTTCTGTATGTCCGTGTGCTTTTGTCTATACTTTTAGCCATGATTTTGATTTTTACTTTTAACTGAATTTATGGATTAAAAGTAAAAAACAAAATCATCCTTCAGGCCGTCTTGAATATTCGAAGAATCTTATTAAAGAGAAATGCGCCCTCCACAGGATTCGAACTCATGTTCCTCGCTGTAGTATACAGTTGATTAATCGAAGACGCTTTTTTGGGGCCAAGTTGGTTAAAAGCACTTCAGATTTAACAACGGTTTCTCCTACAAAGGAGCACGCATGTTCGAATCCAGCAACTTTTAGATTGAGATTTACATCACTAAACCTAATAAAGGGCCTCAGGTTGTTGTATTAGACGAGCAGGGCTATATTAGTAAGATTGGAATCTTGAATGATTCTTCTAAATTTTGTGATTTTTATTGACATCGGTTTTTCGTTTGTCGTCTGGGT